CATCCGTCTCCGTGGCAACACATTTTTCACATCCTTCAATACCTCTTGTCCCTCTGTCTGTGCCGGCAGCCCTGGGTACCCTCTATGCTGGGAGCAGATGGGTGACCATCACCCGCCCCTGAGAGGGGTGGGGAGAGGAGGGATCCGTCCCCTTGCTCTGCAGGGTGTCCCATGGGTGTCTCTGAGCCCATCCTTGGCGGGTGCTGGGGCACAGCATGGATTCAGGGCAGCACAGAGGCACCAACAGGCACCTTCAAGCTTGCAGGCATCTCACCTGCCTTCCTGGGCCAACAGCCGTTTCACCTGCCAGCACGGTCCTGCATGTAGGATGTTTTTCTGCCTGATCCCAGCTGGAGCTTTATAGGACGGGATGCCACAGAGCTGCGGGCATCTCTGGAGATGCAGACATTGAAAGAACCTCTTGTTCAACACAATGTTCCACAGCAGCAGCTGCTCTTGCACCAGCCTTGGAAGATGATCACACGCAAAATGATGGAGAGCTGCCCTTCCACTGCAGGGTCAACCGTTGGAAGCACCAACCTTGGAAAAATCCTCCCTTGCCAGGATTTGCAGATACCAGTGCCATGCTGAGGTTGCAGAGCCTGTTTTGGCTGCACCACTTGCTCAGGAGCCTCACCAGTGCCGGAGGCTGCACCGCAACATCCCGGAGTCATGAAAACCCCTCCCCGGCGCAGCTGGGAACAGAGGCTGGCGGGGCGCAGGAAATCTCCATTCATCAACACTTGGTCACCAGCCAAACTGGAGCCAAACCAACTATTTTTTCCAACTTCCCAGTAAACTGGAGTTTCCAGACCTGTGGCCAGTGGAGAAAGGGATCAGCAAGGGGGGCTGCAGGCAGACGTTAGCTTCGTCCCCGGCTCCACGATGTCCGGGCTCGCAGGCAGTGCTGGCACTGTTGCACCCATGTGGGCTCAGGGTTGGGGGGATGAAGGTTGGTTGTGTGCCCACGTCAGCTGGTGCAGGTGCTGAGTGGTAGGGCAGGGTGGGAAGCTGTGATTTTTGGAGGGAGGTTCAATAGACATGAAAGGGTTGCAGGGTCCTAAATCCCTTTCTTTTTTATTTTGGAAACAGCTCTGCAAACCCTGTAGGGTGCCCAGCCCTGGCAGGACAACTCATCCCCCATCGAGGAGCCAGGCTGTCCCCATGGGGTCACCCACGCCAAGGGGCTCTGCAGCACCCAGCAGGGCCAACAAGTCAAGGGCTTTCCCTCTGCCCCCCTCAAAAAAATCTCTCCCCACTGCAGCAGGTATCTGCTGTGGCTCCAGTGAGGGGTGATGGGTTCAGCCAACCCAGGGCCTAAGCTCAGCCCGGGCGCAGATCCCAGGGCTGGGGCCAGGCCCTGGGGGAAAGTGATTTAGTTAATTAAAAAGAAAAAAAAAGAAAAAAAAAACAAAAACGAAAGGAACTATCAAGTCCACCGACACGGATCTGGTTTTCATTTTGAAGGAACTTTCTGTTACTCATTTGTCATCAGCCTAATTCCTCCAAGTCGAAAACACTTGGTGGGATGGGATGGGATGGGATTTCCTTCACAGCAGCAGAAATACTCTGTTTCTCAAAAAAAAATTGAGGTTATGCCTGGAAGGGGGTCGCTTTGGCAAGAGGCGCCGGGGGATGGACCTTGGCTGCCCCCCAAGTGAGTGCTTTCCCCGCTGCGCTCGCCCTCCTGCCCCACCGTGGGGGGCCGGGGCACTCTGCAAACCCTGTAGGGTGCCCAGCCCTGGCAGGACAACTCATCCCCCATCGAGGAGCCAGGCTGTCCCCATGGGGTCACCCACACCAAGGGGCTCTGCAGCACCCAGCAGGGCCAACAAGTCAAGGGCTTTCCCTCTGCCCCCCTCAAAAAAATCTCTCCCCACTGCAGCAGGTATCTGCTGTGGCTCCAGTGAGGGGTGATGGGTTCAGCCAACCCAGGGCCTAAGCTCAGCCCGGGCGCAGATCCCAGGGCTGGGGCCAGGCCCTGGGGGAAAGTGATTTAGTTAATTAAAAAGAAAAAAAAAGAAAAAAAAAACAAAAACGAAAGGAACTATCAAGTCCACCGACACGGATCTGGTTTTCATTTTGAAGGAACTTTCTGTTACTCATTTGTCATCAGCCTAATTCCTCCAAGTCGAAAACACTTGGTGGGATGGGATGGGATGGGATTTCCTTCACAGCAGCAGAAATACTCTGTTTCTCAAAAAAAAATTGAGGTTATGCCTGGAAGGGGGTCGCTTTGGCAAGAGGCACCGGGGGATGGACCTTGGCTGCCCCCCAAGTGAGTGCTTTCCCCGCTGCGCTCGCCCTCATGCCCCGCGGTGGGTGGCCGGGGCACTGCCGAGGGGTGTTCACCACGTGATGACGGTGTGGGGAGGGGATGTCCTGCCAAGAGCCATGGTCTGGTTGAGCTGGTTCCCCCTGCGCCGAGCAGGGAGGGGAGCGGGACCCTGCAGGGATGGAACTGCCTCCCACCCACCCCAGCCTTTCTCCTCCTTTCTCTTTTTTCCGCTTTTCCCTTGATTCTCCTCCATCTCCTTCCCTCTCTGCTGTCCCAGCCCCTTCCCCTTCCCTCCCGGCATGGCCAGGTGCCAAAGGGACTTTGCACCCCAAGGCAGAGCTCGCTCCTTCCCGCAAGCCCGGGAGCTGCCAAAGGGAGACCAAAATGCTCCGGTCTTATCTGCGAGGGGAGGCAGGCTCGGTGGGCAGGGTTTGTGCGAAGGCTGCTGGCTTATAAGCAGCCAGCAGCGGAGGCAAAGCTACCATCTCGCAAGGCACCGAACAGCCCCCCCGCCCCCCTCCGTGCACTGCTCCTGCCGCGATGCCCCCGGTGCTGGGGCTGCTGCTGGGGCTGAGCCTGGTGGGTGCCCTTCAGCCCGACCTCAATCCCCCCCAGCATGAGCCCACCGAGCAAGGGGCCACCCTCTTCGCCAGCGCCTACAACAGCACAGCTGAGATCGTCCTCTTCAAGAGCGTCTCGGCCAGCTGGAATTACTACACCAACCTGACGGCCGAAAACGCTGCTCTGCAGGTGGGTGGTGGGACGGGGGCGATGCCACCGTGGGGGCGTCCCCAGCACCAGGGACTGGGGGGGGGCTGGGGCATGGTGGGGACGTTGGCGTGGTCCCCTTCCTTCTCGCGGGCTCTTGTCTCAGCACCCCGGGATGGCAAACCAGGGCTGGCACTTGTAGCCTGGGAACTGCAGGGGTTTGCCCAAAATTGTCCCTTGGAGAGGCTCTGCCCTGACGTGACAGCGTTGGTCCTGGAGCAGAGTCTGGATTATTTTTAGAGGTGATTCCCTCCTGCCAGCACCTTCCACTTTCCTTCTCCCTCTTCCCAGACCGGGCTCAGGTGTGAAGTGTCCCTGTCCCTGTCCCTGCCCGGTGCCACACCACATCCCAGCGCTGTCCCATGCCAGAGCTCCACCGCATCCCAGCTCTGGGGGCTTTTGATTTGGGGCAGACACTGGGAGCTCACCTGCCAGCACCTTCCACTTTCCTTCTCCCTCTTCCCAGACCGGGCTCAGGTGTGAAGTGTCCCTGTCCCTGTCCCTGCCCGGTGCCACACCACATCCCAGCGCTGTCCCATGCCAGAGCTCCACCGCATCCCAGCTCTGGGGGCTTTTGATTTGGGGCAGACACTGGGAGCTCAAAGTGTGGACAAGGAACAGGGTGGCATCGGGACTGAGGCTGCCCCCCGCCCCGTCCCCCGTCCCCGTGTCCCCAGCCCACAGGGATGAAGCTGGCTCCAGGGAAGCCCTCCAGGCTGTGGGGAATTGCCATCAGCCCGGCTATGTGCAGGCAGAGCCCGGGTGGGGAGCGATGCTGTGTGCATCCCACAGGCGTGGGCGTGTTTGGCCGGGGGTTTGCATATCCTGAGGCTGGATTTAGCGGGGCAGGGAGTTCGAGCAGCCCCGGGGGCTGCTCTTGGCTGGGTGAGCTGCACGGACCAGGGAATCCTGGTGCTTGGGCAGGCTGCAGAGGGTTTCCCAGCTCTTGCTCTGCCCAGGGAGCAGGTCGGGCCGCTGCCAACTTGGCAGGACACCCAAGAGCACCCAAGTGCCCCTGCAGCCTTTTTTCGGTGAGCTGACGTGATGCCTAGGCAGATGCCCAGCGTCTGCTGCAGATGTTGCAGCGTGGCCGGGGACTTTGGGGCAGAGCAGGAGCATCCCAGCCGCCCCGAGTCCAAGGTTAGGGCCAGGAAAGCACCTTGCATGGACTTTTCTCAAGGGGCATGACCAGGCCAGCTCTCACCCTTTCCTGTGGTAATAAATGCCCGAGGATCACAGCCAGGTCCTCTCTGCCATATCAAGGCTCCCACACCAGCCCAGGAAGAGGAGGGGATCCAGCCCCCCGCAGTGGGGCAGCAGGGACATGTGTGGTGGGATGGGGAGGCACTGGGTACTAAAGGGTTAACAGCTGGCCAGCACGACCCAAAAAGCTGAATTTGGGGGATCTGGGGAACCCTCAGGCCAGGCAAACCCCACACACATCTGTAACACCTGAGCCAGGCCACCATGGTGTGGGCTCCTCCAGGACCTGCCACCAAAGGGGGTCCTGGGACAAAGTGACACAGAGGGGCAGGAGGCAGAAGGCAGCACAGGAGCCCCCGGCCACACAGGGGTGGACAGAGGGACGCTGGAATGACAGACAGGGAGCTCGGCTGCGGGAGAGGGAGATGGGTCTCCTGCAAGCTGGGGCTCTGGGCGAGAGGCTGGCAATGGTGTTTGGGGCTCGGGGGCTGCTCATGGGTGCGGGACTTCTCCGGGTGCCTGGGCTGCCCCAGTGCCCTGGGTCGCATCCTGCGCTGCTGAATCTTCACTGTGCAACCAGGAGCAGGGAAGGACTGGGTGGGGGCTTTGGTAGGGACACATGGGGGCCATGGGTGTCCAGGGGCTTCTGAGCCTCCCAAAGGGGAACCCCCACAGAGAGAGCTCCCAGCTGCGGGGGTGAAGGGCCAGGGCTGGTGGGCACGGCTGCGGCGAGGGGGTCTCGAGCAGCGCTGCCAGCCTTGACTCGCTCTGCCAGAGCTGTCAGGAGAGTTTAGGGTACGATTCGCCTGACCAAACACAGGCGCCTGTTCAAGGAGAAGACAAAACACAGCTGGACTGTGCTTCCTACAGCTCCCCCAGCTCCTCAGCGGGGTCTGGGGAGGGGGAAAGATATCCCCTGTTTAGTGGGGCCATGCAAGAGCATCTTGCTCCAGGGCAGGGTGTCCCTGGGGCTGGTGCATCCCAGCACGTTGGGAGATCAGGGCTGGTTGGTGCCCAGAGTGATGCTGTGGGTGCTGGAATGTCCGAGGGAGGCGGTGGGTCCCCGGCGGGTGGCAGCCAGGGGCACCCAGCACTTTTGGCATCCCCACCTCTGGGCAGCCTCCAGCCCTGCCACACCATAACTCCCTTCCCTCCCCGCTGCCAGCTGAGGGAATGTGAAGATTAAAATAAAACAAACCAGGCTTGTTGGAGCCAGGCTAAAAATGCCACAAATAACAGCTAATGAGCTCCATAAATCATGCTGGGATGGAGCACAGACAGCGAACAGGCGCCCTGCACCTTCCCCCTCCATCCTGTGCATCGCCTGGGCTGGGACACTCTCAAAAGATCAGTGTTACCCGAAAATACGGCTGACACCGGCCAGGCTGGGATGCGACCTCCTGCGATACACCCCGTCCCAAAATTGTGGCCATCGGTCACAGCTCCAGCTGCCTAAATAACCCCCCGCAGCGCAGCCAGCTGCCTGCCATCCCACAGCCCTGAGAAGGGAGGATGGAGCTGGCAGGAGATGGGTGACAGTGAGAGACCCAAAAGCAGGGGCTTGGTGTGAATGGGTGCCCCTGCGTAAGGTGAAAGCCAGATATGGCACTTAGAGGGCACGGGCCTGCAGCCAAAGGAGAAATGCAGAGCCCTAGCAAGGAGGTGTAGGAAGGGGAAAAGTGAATGTGGCATCTTTGTAGTTTTCCTTTGGGCTTCTGCAAAGGTGAGAAATAGCAGGAATAGGAATAAAATGAAGCCAGATCTCAGAGCTCCTTCTGAAACTGGGGTCTGGCAGCAGCCGGACACCTTGCCCGCCTGGCATGGACACCCCTGTCCCAGCATCCCCACCCCATCCAGGCCACGATGCCCTGGAGCCACCTCCACCATCCCAGCACGTTGGGAGATCAGGGCTGGTTGGTGCCCAGAGTGATGCTGTGGGTGCTGGAATGTCCGAGGGAGGCGGTGGGTCCCCGGCGGGTGGCAGCCAGGGGCACCCAGCACTTTTGGCATCCCCACCTCTGGGCAGCCTCCAGCCCTGCCACACCATAACTCCCTTCCCTCCCCGCTGCCAGCTGAGGGAATGTGAAGATTAAAATAAAACAAACCAGGCTTGTTGGAGCCAGGCTAAAAATGCCACAAATAACAGCTAATGAGCTCCATAAATCATGCTGGGATGGAGCACAGACAGCGAACAGGCGCCCTGCACCTTCCCCCTCCATCCTGTGCATCGCCTGGGCTGGGACACTCTCAAAAGATCAGTGTTACCCGAAAATACGGCTGACACCGGCCAGGCTGGGATGCGACCTCCTGCGATACACCCCGTCCCAAAATTGTGGCCATCGGTCACAGCTCCAGCTGCCTAAATAACCCCCCGCAGCGCAGCCAGCTGCCTGCCGTCCCACAGCCCTGAGAAGGGAGGATGGAGCTGGCAGGAGATGGGTGACAGTGAGAGACCCAAAAGCAGGGGCTTGGTGTGAATGGGTGCCCCTGCGTAAGGTGAAAGCCAGATATGGCACTTAGAGGGCACGGGCCTGCAGCCAAAGGAGAAATGCAGAGCCCTAGCAAGGAGGTGTAGGAAGGGGAAAAGTGAATGTGGCATCTTTGTAGTTTTCCTTTGGGCTTCTGCAAAGGTGAGAAATAGCAGGAATAGGAATAAAATGAAGCCAGATCTCAGAGCTCCTTCTGAAACTGGGGTCTGGCAGCAGCCGGACACCTTGCCCGCCTGGCATGGACACCCCTGTCCCAGCATCCCCACCCCATCCAGGCCACGATGCCCTGGAGCCACCTCCAAACCATCCTCAAAATCCACCTTGGCGGGTGCTCGCTGGGAGCGCCGCAGGCGAGCGGGGGCTGAAGACATCGGCTGGAAGCTCATGTCTCTATCTATGAATGTCACGGACTGGGGACGGCCCTGCCTGCCACCTCGTGTCCTGTCCTCTCTGGCTCCCACAAACCCTCATGGCTCTGAACCCAGCCCCCAAACCATCGCCCAGGTGGTGGCATGTCCCAGGGCTGGTCCTGAGTCCCCATGGTCCCGCTCGCCATGCAGGTCGAGGCATCGCTGGAGGAGCAAAATTTCACGGAGCTGTGGGGGAAGAAAGCCAAGGAGCTCTATGGCAACATATGGAAGAACTTCAGCGACCCAGACCTGAAGAGAATCATTGGCTCCATCCAGACCCTGGGACCCTCCAACCTGCCCCTGGAGAAGAGACAGCAGGTAGGTGAGGTGCCAGCAAAGCCCTGGGCATTGCTGGGGTGCTGCGAAACCCCTTAAAGGGATTTTTCCCAAGCCTCCAGACTCTGTTTCTGGCCCATTGCCCCTCCATTGCACTTTGGAGGGTCTCCCTGGCCTCTGCACAGGGAAGACAGTGATGGAGGGAGGAGATGGGGTGCTATCGCCGGGGGATGTGGGGTGCTTGCTGGCCCCATCATCCAGCCCTAACCTCATCCCAGAGCTATCCCAGTGGGAACTGGAGATTTCCTGCTTACACAGAACAACCTTGGGTGTCACCTGGAGACCAGCCAGGCTGTGCCCATGGCCAGGGCTCGATTCCCTCCTCCCCCAGTGCTCCTCGGGGATGCGGCCCACCAAAAAGGAGGGCTCCTGCAGCCACCCGGCACCTGAGCCCTCCCTGCAAGCCCAGAAATGCTGTGCCTTGGTGACACAGCTCCACACCAGGGACATCAGGACATCCCGAGCTTTTCCCATCACAATCCTGAGCTTTCAGGGCCATCTACCTAAATGTGACGTGATTTTGATTTCCATGCATGAAAATCTTGCCCAGGCTGAGGCTGGCAGGTTCTTGCTCTACATGAGCACAGGGACACTGGCACTGCTGTCCCCTCCAGCCTGGCCCACAGCTCCCTGAGAGCCCTCCACACCAAAATCCTGGCAAAGCCCAGGAATACAATCCTTTCCGGTGAAGCGTCAGCCCTGGTTCCTTCCAGGAAACCTATCCCTACCCCCTCCCAAATAACAGACATCATCCTATCTCCTCCCTGAGCATCGGCCGCGTTTCGCCTGTCCCTGGGCAGCTCCATCCCACACCATCCCCTGCCTCTGTCCCCTCCTCCTGGCCAGAGCAGAGGGATAGGAGCGGAGAGAGGGACGGAGCGGAGGAATTTCCTTCCCTGGGAATGGGCTCCCCAGGCAGGTTCCAGGAAACCTCCTGTTGCTATTGTTTGCTGTTGTTGAAGTTCACAGAAATAAACCCCCCTCCTCCTCCTGCTTTTCTTCTTATTTTTTTTTTTTACCCGCTTAGATAAACAGGCTGTGCCGCAGCCCCGCTGACAAAGAGCTTTATAAATAGCCCCGCTCCGGGACACCGTGAGCGCTCCCGCCATGCTCGAGGGGGGTTCGGTGGGCGGCTGTGCATGGTTTGGCTGTCCCGAAGAGCCTCCCTGTTCCCACCATGCGAAAGGTGTAAACCGTTGGGTGATAACACGCTTCTCTCTCCAAAAACATGCTGTGTGAACACACCCATCTTCTTCCACATCCCTCCAGCCACAAACACACACATACATTCCAGAGCTGGGAAGTCCATAGATGCCTCCTGAAGAGCCATTCCCATCCCCTCCCAGCCCCAACATCTTTTCCTTTCCCGCAGTACAACACCATCCTGAGCGAAATGGACAAAATCTACTCCACAGCCAAGGTGTGCCTGGCCAATGATACCTGCTGGGAGCTGGAGCCAGGTATGGTCCTTGTCCCTCTGCCCCTGTGGGGTGCTGAGCACCCCATGGCCATGAGTTTGTCTTGGTCCCCACATGCCCAGTGGGTTGGGGTTGGCAGGTCCCACACATCTTCATCAGGGTTGTCCCGGGGTGAGGATGGGTATTTGGGTCTGGTGCGACGGTGGTGGTACCTCTGCAGAGCTACTGTGGGATGTGACCCCCTCTCCTGCCCCTTTCTCATGTCCTACTCGTCCCCTCTGTTCCAGACATCTCGGACATCATGGCCAACTCCCGCAGCTACAAGAAGCTGCTCTACGCCTGGGAGGGATGGCACAACGCTGCGGGCAACCCGCTGCGCACCAAGTACGAGGAGTTTGTGAATCTGAGCAACGAGGCCTACCATATGGATGGTACGAGCAGGATGGGGGGGATGCAGGGGGTGCTCAGGAATCAGGGGTGGGAATTGGGGCTGGGGCAATAGGGTGCCCTGCTGCTCCCCCTACCCCACATGCAGCCAGGCATCTGACTTCCATTTCTCTGGCACCAACACTTTGGGGAAGGGGCAAAAATCCTACTGCTGTTCCCTGGTCCCAGCTCTCAGGGCTGGGGGGGGTGGGGAAGTCCCCAGGGGCTGGAGCCAGACATCATCACTGCTTCCCTGGCAGGATTCGAGGACACAGGCAGCTACTGGCGCTCCTGGTATGACTCACCCTCCTTCGAGGATGACCTGGAGCATCTCTACAAACAGCTGGAGCCACTCTACCTCAACCTGCACGCCTTCGTCCGGAGGAAGCTGTATGACCGCTATGGCCCCAAATACATCAACTTGAAGGGTCCCATCCCTGCTCACCTCCTGGGTAAGAGAAGGAATCCCCCCAGCCTGTGCCCAGGGGTGCTGGTGGGGCCAGATGGGCACACACAGGGCCATAGTGGGACAGGGAGGTCCCAGTTATCACTGTGCTTCTCCTCCTTCCAACCTATCACCAGCTCCACTCCAGCTGTTTTCTCTTCTCAGGCAACATGTGGTCTCAGCAGTGGAACAACATCTATGACCTGATGGTCCCCTATCCTGAGAAGCCCAACCTTGATGTCACGAGCACCATGGTGCAGAAGGTAATGGGCTGAGGGACTCACTGGTGGCACCAGGGGGACAAAAATGGGGGTGTTGGCCAAGACTTGCCCATAACATCGACCCCATGGGAGTTCTTTCTCATACCTGCATAGGCGACAGCAGAAAAGCCATGTCAGGGAGGGGAAAGGACAAAGAAATGACCCCTCTGCCTCTCTGGCAATGACCAAAGAGGTAGTGGGTGGACAATAGGAAGAACATGGGACCGGTGCCAGTACTCGGGTTGGGGGCTGCATCCACACCATCACACAGCTCCAAGCACTCCTGGGGCATTAGCCCTGCTCCCTTCTTGTGTCCATGTTGGGCACCAGCACCATTGCTTGGTGCTTCTTAGGGATGCTCACACCAATTCTGGAGCCAGGGTTCCCCCTCAGGGGAGAGAGGCAGGACCCCGGTCCCTTGGGGACCACCTCATCCCCACGGTTCTGAGAGAGCATCACAGGCAATGCCCAGGGCATAAGCAGCCCCTTCCTCAGCCGTAACCCACTGCCTGCTGCCCACCAGGGCTGGAACGCCACCCACATGTTCCGGGTCTCAGAGGAGTTCTTCACCTCCCTGGGGCTGTTGGAGATGCCCCCCGAATTTTGGGAGAAGTCCATGCTGGAGAAACCAACGGATGGACGGGAGGTGGTGTGTCATGCCTCAGCCTGGGACTTCTACAACCGCAAGGACTTCAGGTGTGTGGGGGCAGGCAGGAGCCTGGGGCTACAGGGTAAGACCCTCCTCCATCCCCCCTGGTGGTGACCATTTTGGGTTCCCTCAGCCTGGCCGTGCAGCCCAATCTCTCACCTACTGGGGTAAGGTCTTGGGACACCATGCTGCCCTGCCTTCCCCTCCATTTGGTCTTTCCCCTACCCCACTGGGGTGCTGCTACCCTCTCAGGGACTGTGGAGGGTTCTTCCCATCGAGGGGGTGTACAGGCAGCGGAGGTCCCTCTCTCAGCTCAGGCAATGCTCTGTTTTCACCCGGCAGGATCAAGCAGTGCACAACAGTGACCATGGAGCAGCTGTTCACAGTGCACCATGAGATGGGCCACGTCCAGTACTACCTGCAGTACAAGGACCAGCCCGTCTCCTTCCGCAGAGGGGCCAACCCTGGCTTCCATGAGGCCATTGGCGATGTCTTGTCCTTGTCTGTCTCCACCCCCAGCCACCTCAAGAAAATTGGTCTCCTCAGCAGTGCCACCGAGGACAAAGGTATGGCAGCCACCCTGGGGATCTGGGTGGCCTGGAGGGCTCAGGCATTTCCTGTGGCACCATGAAGGGTTTGGGCCATGCCGTGGTGGGCTGCAGTCTGGCAATGCCAGCCAGAGCAGGCAAGACCCCATGGCTGATGTGTGCCTTTCGTCCACGCTCGGTTCCATGCACAACGCCTTCTTGTCTCCATGGGTCCATGTAGGACCCTCATGGCTCCATCTTCTTCACCCCTGAGGGCAGGAGGGATGCTCTCCAGAGCTTGTCTGTTCCCTTCCCTTCTCCATCAGAGTCCCAAACCTGAAAGCGGCATCTTTGTGCTTGATCAGCTTTGACCTTTCTATTGTGGCCCCTACCCTCGCCAAGAAACATCCACCCGAGGAGCTCCCAGTGTAGCTCTGTGGAGGTGGCACTGACGTGCGCAGTCACAAGGACAGTAGCGGGTGACGTTTCTGCCTGCCAGCTGGCGCGGCGGAGGAGGCCTTGTCGCCGCAGGATGCTGCCAGGCTTGGCAGAGTCTCTCCCCCGCCCCCAAGGTTCCCAGCCGACACGGCACAACA